AAGTTTTTTATTTTCAGTATTAAAAGATAAAAAATAAAAAATGTATTCTAAAAATGTAGCGCATGTGTCTATGAATTATATTTAAAAGAAATTTTTTAAAAATATTGATTAGAACAAAAGTTATTTCATTTGTCAGATCTCTGTGGGACACCCTGTATAATGTATACACATTATATACACATGCATTAATACATACATAAATACATAAATACATAAATACATACATATATACACACACATATACATATATTATATCATAAACACCCTGCTATGTATGACAGGGTCGTTGTTGTTAAATGTTTGCTGGCAGCCATAACTACAGACTGTGTTGCACTAACATTTATCATCGAATTGACATTTGCCACCATTCGAAAAACTTGTGTTAAAAAGGAACAAAAAAAATAACCATCATGACCGCCCGCTGGTTTGTACACATCTGCTTTTACCCACTTTAAAAGCAGCTGGACATTGGCGTCGAGACGTCTCTAGGCCAAATAACCGAAGGGTACGGTGTAAAGCGTTTTACATTAAGCGATGTTTCAAAAATACGAGACTGCATTTTGTCTCAGAATTATTATTACTGTCGATTATCAACTCTAGACAATCGTCTGGGGAATATCATTATATTGTATTTCCAATTTAACATAGGCACTACTATTACAATATTTTCGGTGACATTACCAGCCAGGAAGACCCAAATAAGAACCTAGTGAAAAATGACTAACGCCGAAATGTTAATACAATATATATTGGRAATTATCTGTTAATATAAAAATAACTAACAACGATAATAATATTACGATTAAACTTAAGCTCTTCAGTCTTAGTTACGATTGTATATGAGTGTATGGCACACAATRTTTTTTATTGTAATACAATCGATGGAGGATTTTCCTATTATGTGACGATGTTGTTGTAAGGATTAAAAATGACAATGATTTCGAGAACAATCGCTCATCGAGTTTTCGCGGGAACGCGTATGGATAAAAAGCAGTGCCTATACGGCTATGCCTTTAGACACAAAGCGACGTTTGTCACATTCCCGCGTCCCTCTTTATCAACTACTTTTTATTTTCCCGCGACTCAAGCATCACACGCATATAACATAACATTATGTGTATAATAATATTATGTGTTGTGTTGTTGTGTACGATCGTCGTAGCTGCCGCCGAGAAATCTGGTTTCCAGAAATACGAAAACCACGCCCTATTGACCATCAACTCCCCTTAACCCCACCCAAAATCTGCCGCGCGCACATGCACTCGCACACCCCGACGATCCTCCGCTCATCACTATTCGGGCCCGGGCGGGCGCCGGTTTGTCTGCCGATTTCCGGCTGTACGGTCGGTCGGTCGACCACACGTGTGTATATAGCTTGGGAATATACATTTTATGATGTTTATATACGTACACAATGGATCGGCAGAACCCTCCGAAGCCCTGCGGTCATCATTTCAGTATAATCTTCTTTTCGGTTTGGTTGTGCATTTGTGCAGCGGCAACAACGCGCGCGTATTGTATGCATTACCTAYTGTTTCGTGTCGCGGCTCTTCTGCATGATAAAACCGGTACAATAATATTATAATATTTAATACGCGTGGAACAATTATTTCAATCGTCTATGCTTCTTCTCAATAATATTACACAGCTGGCTGGTGCGCTAAACGGCAAAGTGCGCGTCATACGACATCCGTTTATAATATTATGATATTATCGTCGTCTACGGTCCCAATAGTTTCATATAAAATATACCGCCACATCAGGTAAACCGTGATTGTTATTTATGTATAATAATAATAGAATGGCTAGTGTACCTTATTATACAATGGTATTATTAGTTTATACTTTGTAGTKTGTACCTAAATTGTAGGTATTATAAAGTATTGTATGTGGCACGCTTCAGTATAATATATAATATGGTTAAAACACCATTTGACAAATTTGTCAGCGTATCAAAAGATATAAAAATACAAAAGAGAATCTTTTTGACTGAGCGTAAAAAATTCAACAATACTGCGATTTGCATTGTTAAACAATTCTGAACTGCATTGTACAAAC